ACTGTGATTTCAATGAGAAATTAGTTCTTCTGAAATCTAGCATTTTGCTCTTTCTGTCTGTGAGAGAGAACAGGGCATGTATTCAGGTCAACCTGTAAATACTGTTATGAAAATAATGTAAATGTCATTTTGGTAATTGTTTTACATTCTAAAACAATTACCAAAATGGTAATTATCAGAATGTGGTTTACATTCTACAGAGAAGGACGATCTACCTGAATTTGAATGAGCATCGGTTCATGTTGATGCTGCTAACTTGAGGAGAAGATCTTGACTTGGTCATGGACACCAAAGCCGCTGTAAATTTCTCAACATTGTGTGGACCAAATCTTTCTTTTGTGGGAGAGAAAACAAGTTTGGTACCAGAAAATTGCAGACAAAGTACTTAGATGTGGACTCAATTGTTCACGGTTGTGTTATAGTACCAAGGATGCTGTCAAGTCTTTGGGTGGTGGAGTTTGGGGGGTGTAACATGGTAAATGGCAGACAGCAGCCTCTCTCTCTCCTCTAGATTGGACACTTGAAGGATTTTGAGGGTGTTGAGATCAATAAAAGCAATGTGAGATTCACTGAACTCTGCCTCTGTAAGGTTTAATCCACCCGAAGCCACAACATTATTATTAACATCTCTTTAAATGGTTGCTTCTGATAAATAACACTAATGGATCTCTAAAATAGCTCTTCATTGGTTTGAACGTGTTACAAATAGGCCTTGCAAATCATTAGCTAGAAATGGTAAAAGTCTCTATGGTGTTTTATTAGCTAGAAAATGTTGCTTTTCCTCTCTTTTTAAGTTGATGCATGGAAATACTTCTTAAACTGATGCAATAACTTAAAAGGGAAAATGAGTAGTACATAATCTGAACAGTTATTGGTTTGTAGCTATGCATTAGTCTCTTTGAATGTTTGGTGAATTTAAACATTTAAAAAGGGTGGGAATATGACAAAAACGAATGTGCAAACTGTACTTTTACCTCTAATGAAGGGCAGGCATTTCTGTAGACCAATATTACTAAACCACTGGCAAAGCTCCTCTGTGTTCAGCTCTGCTAAAGTTTTGGCTCTGTACCCATTAGAATCCCACTAAAAACAGACAGATACAGACAAACACATGCAATTGAAGATCTCAATACGCATGCATGTAGACACTTTTATTAAAGGGGTCATATGATGCTATTTTAAAGATCATTATTTTGTGTATTTGGTGTAACAGAATATGTTGACATGCTTTAATGTTCAAAAAACACATTATTTTTCAAATACTGTACATTATTGTAGGTCCTCTATGCCCCGCCTCTCATAAATGCGTCGTTTTCAACAAAGCCCCCTCCTTTGACAAGCGCAGTCTGCTCTGATTGGCCAGCTGACACATTGTGTGCATTGTGATTGGCCGAACACCACAAGCACGTGTCGGAAATGTAACGCCCCTTACCATAATCGCGAGCTTCAGCTTTCAAAGTAAATATCAAGAAAGTTAATAATGTCGTTAGTTTTACCATCAATTCAAGCCCGAAAGGGCAACAGAGTCGCGTGACAGACACAGTGATAATGCAGTACACAAGCAGCGGTTAAGACAGCTGACGTGCTATGATTTCTGACAGGCAGTTCACTCTCCTGTGTTGTGATGTGACCCTTTTCCCCTCACACACACACGACGCGTTACTCTGCTCTGCGCAAAACTCCGCATTTGAACAGTCAATAGCAAATACTTAAACTAATAACAAAACATACTTACAGTCGCTGATTCAGAAGCGCCAGATTGTCATAGCAAAGTCGGAATTTACCCTTTTTTTTTTTTTTAGAAATAGCCTTTGTGCACAGCCAGCCTTGTACTCTTCTAGGTTAAAAAAAACTGTCGTCCATCTGGGTTGTGCTGTTCTGTTGTAAATAAATCTTAACCAATGATTCATAATTGCATCTACTTCCGGAAGGCCAAATAAAGTGCTTTTGCTTTCGCACTGAAACACAGCGTCTCCCTGACATGGCTGCATCAACACTACTGCTGTTCCTGAAACCACGCCTTCTTTCTTTGCATGCACATTTGGGCGGCATTATGCTAATATTTCCACATAGTGATGTAGACATGTGGGGGTGTGTTAGAACGAGCCGTTTTAGGTAGGCGTGGTTGAATCTGAACTTTTATAAAGAATATCTCTTTGGATTTGAGACTTTAGTCTTTGCAACTTTACAGATCTTCTTTATGCACCAGGAGCTTATAACACCCCAAAGAGAAAGGAAAACTTGAAATCGCATCATATGACCCCTATAACTTGAAATAACTCTTCATGAACATTCTCCTGCATGTTCACAGAGAATTAACACAGTGAAAGATGTGCCCACACAAAAAAAGACCAATATAGAACATTCCACCATAAAAGACCATAAAAGTTTTTTTTAACCAAGGAGATTTTTCAGTGCTCCTATGAAAGGTGCTGCATGAGTGTACTTGTGTATACCCCACAGCTGTGGATGCTCTGACTCTACATGAGGTGTAAATGAGGTGTATTTTCAAGTGGAACTGCCTGTACTTTTACAAAATGGCTATAGTTTTCCACTGACTATACTATTTTACTGACTTTGACGTTTTAGATGGTCAGTGTATGTTCAAAATTAAGTAGGAATAAAAGTCTGCTATGCATATTGACTTGACTAAGCTCCATTCATAATCTTATTTGTCAGAATATTTTTCACAATCTTACACACACACACACACACACACACACACACACACACACACACACACACACACACAATAGCCTTACCTTCAATGCCCTTACTCCAGTGTGGTCCTTTGACTGAGGAATGTATGATGCTGGGAAGAGGAAAAATAACAGGTCTAGCTGGTGGACCATCTTAGGATCCTATTCACCTGCAGAACTTGGTGCTGGTTAAGTTATTTGACCAAGAAAGTCTTTCTGGTTACGCTAGTTAAAAGGTCTAGTGGGAAGCCTCCAAAACACAACACATAGTGGTCTTTTTTGTAAGTTTAATACAAAATGGGGGAACTAATGGTTAGAGAGCTGAACTGGTACCCAGAAGGTTGCAGGTTTCGATTCCCAGTACTGGCAGGAATTGTAGGTGGGGGGAGTGAATGAACAGCACTCTCTTACACCCTCACTACCCATGACTGAGGTGCCCTTGAGCAAGGCACCAAACCCCCAATTGCTCTCCGGGCACCACAGAAAAAATGGCTACATACAGCTCCGGGTTTGTGTTCACGGTGCGTGTGTATATGTGTTTTCACTACTCACTGCTGTGTGGTGCACAAATTCTGAGTATGAGTTACCATACTTGGCTACACATCACGTCACTTCACCACTTCACTTTTAAATAAACATGATAAGGATAGCATCCTAGCCTTTGTAATTCAAGCAGTGGATCACAATATAAGGTCACAAGGTCACATTACCAACAGTTATCCTCCTCTGGCGTGGAGATTCCTCATCTTCAATGACTTCATCTCTTCCTTGATATGTGGAGTGAAAGGTATGACTTCTCAGCACCGTATCGCCCAAACTACTGGACCTAGTGGCTGGTTTCTGTGATAGAATGACAAACGAGTATTCATACATGTAAAACCTCTTTTTGATATATTCTGTGTGAAATGTGGATTATATTAATGGGTTATTTTAAACAGGTACCATTTGTAAAGGTAATACTGAGTGATTTTACCTTTTGGTGTGTTAACATGCTTGTCTTACTGCTCAGCGGTAGTAGCCTCAACTCTTCCTTTAGCAACTCATGGCTGCAGGCATCCTTGTTACTCAGGTCATCTAAATGAGTAAAACAAGACATCACCAAGATGTCAGCACTTTTAGCAAATGCCCTCTGAACTGATGGGAAAGAACTTTTGGATCTGGAGAAGTCCTAACTCTGTCTGGGTCATTGAGTCCATCTCTGGGAAACAAAACAAGTAGAACTTCAAGCTAACATGGGAAAAATTGGTCCCAAACTCAAGTCTGGACAATATAGAGCACCATATTTGGTGTATTGTGCTCTCTGGAAAAAAGTTTTTTTTAACCAAGGAGATTTTTCAGTGCTCCTATGAAAGGTGCTGCATGAGTGTACTTGTGTATACCCCACAGCTGTGGATGCTCTGACTCTACATGAGGTGTAAATGAGGTGTATTTTCAAGTGGAACTGCCTGTACTTTTACAAAATGGCTATAGTTTTCCACTGACTATACTATTTTACTGACTTTGACGTTTTAGATGGTCAGTGTATGTTCAAAATTAAGTAGGAATAAAAGTCTGCTATGCATATTGACTTGACTAAGCTCCATTCATAATCTTATTTGTCAGAATATTTTTCACAATCTTACACACACACACACACACAACACACACACACACACACACACACACACACACACACACACACACACAATAGCCTTACCTTCAATGCCCTTACTCCAGTGTGGTCCTTTGACTGAGGAATGTATGATGCTGGGAAGAGGAAAAATAACAGGTCTAGCTGGTGGACCATCTTAGGATCCTATTCACCTGCAGAACTTGGTGCTGGTTAAGTTATTTGACCAAGAAAGTCTTTCTGGTTACGCTAGTTAAAAGGTCTAGTGGGAAGCCTCCAAAACACAACACATAGTGGTCTTTTTTGTAAGTTTAATACAAAATGGGGGAACTAATGGTTAGAGAGCTGAACTGGTACCCAGAAGGTTGCAGGTTTCGATTCCCAGTACTGGCAGGAATTGTAGGTGGGGGGAGTGAATGAACAGCACTCTCTTACACCCTCACTACCCATGACTGAGGTGCCCTTGAGCAAGGCACCAAACCCCCAATTGCTCTCCGGGCACCACAGAAAAAATGGCTACATACAGCTCCGGGTTTGTGTTCACGGTGCGTGTGTATATGTGTTTTCACTACTCACTGCTGTGTGGTGCACAAATTCTGAGTATGAGTTACCATACTTGGCTACACATCACGTCACTTCACTTCACTCACTTTAAATAAACATGATAAGGATAGCATCCTAGCCTTTGTAATTCAAGCAGTGGATCACAATATAAGGTCACATCACGTCTTTACCAACAGTTATCCTCCTCTGGCGTGGAGATTCCTCATCTTCAATGACTTCATCTCTTCCTTGATATGTGGAGTGAAAGGTATGACTTCTCAGCACCGTATCGCCCAAACTACTGGACCTAGTGGCTGGTTTCTGTGATAGAATGACAAACGAGTATTCATACATGTAAAACCTCTTTTTGATATATTCTGTGTGAAATGTGGATTATATTAATGGGTTATTTTAAACAGGTACCATTTGTAAAGGTAATACTGAGTGATTTTACCTTTTGGTGTGTTAACATGCTTGTCTTACTGCTCAGCGGTAGTAGCCTCAACTCTTCCTTTAGCAACTCATGGCTGCTGGCATCCTTGTCGCTCAGGTCATCTAAATGAGTAAAACAAGACATCACCAAGATGTCAGCACTTTTAGCAAATGCCCTCTGAACTGATGGGAAAGAACTTTTGGATCTGGAGAAGTCCTAACTCTGTCTGGGTCATTGAGTCCATCTCTGGGAAACAAAACAAGTAGAACTTCAAGCTAACATGGGAAAAATTGGTCCCAAACTCAAGTCTGGACAATATAGAGCACCATATTTGGTGTATTGTGCTCTCTGGAACACACTTGAAAGCTTGGTTGGAATTTGTCTCAAATTAATAATGTCAGCCGGAAACAGCTACTTAATCTCTGCATGCTAGTGCTAATACTTGAGCTGATAATGTTGAGGGAGGAATGAAAGTGTTTTCTTTTCACTATGAGTGTTTTTACACGGGCTCTGTAACATCAGTCATCAATGATTTATCATGAGCCTTGACGGCACACTCTGTAAATACATGCCAACATGCAGCAAACCACACTGCGATACTGTGGGATGTTGCAAAACTGGGTTAACTGTGAAAAGGACAAGTGAGGGACTGTCTGACCAGTGGCATACTTTAGTGACCAGTGACATGCTATGCTTTCCCACAGACAGCAGACATTCTAACATTCCCATAACCACACTGCTTTCTGAACCCCTCCCTTTGCTTCATAAAAAAGCAGGAATAACAAACAAGTGCTGGGAATTGACACACTGAAACGATGGTCTTAAGTCCTGTCAAAAGTCCACTCTCTGATCCCTGTTGGTTCTGCATAATAGGGAACAGTATGTGTTTGGCATCAGTTCTAGGTTTGTACTGTACATTGCCTGAGTCATACTACTGTCTTATGTCAATTCAATAGTTAAATATTAAGTGGAACATGGTGGAACGGTATATCATGGAGCTCAGTTTTCTGAGCCTACAGATTTGTCAGTTTTGCAATATTTACATCCATTAAATGCAATCAGAATGTCATCAGAAGAAGCTCTATCTATCTATCTGTCTGTCTGTCTCTGTCTGTCTATCCATCCATCCATCCATCCATCCATCTATATATATATATCTACCTACCTACCTATCTATCTATCCATCCACCCATCCATCCATCTATATATATATATCTACCTACCTATCTATCTATCTATCTCTCTCTCTCTATCTATCTATCTATCTATCTATCTATCCACCCACCCAACCACCCATCCATCCATCTACATATATATATATCTACCTACCTATCTATCTATCTATCTATCTATCTATCTATCTATCTATCTATCTATCTATCTATCTATCTATCTATCTATCTCTCTCTCTCTCTCTCTCCATCCATCCATCCATCCATCTATCTATCTATCTATCTATCTATCTATCT